AAGGAGCAGGAGGTGTCAATGAACAAGGTGAAGGAGCAGGGGGTGTCAATGAAAAAAGTGAAGGAGCAGGAGGTGTCAATGAAAAAGGTGAAGAGCAGGAGGTGTCAATGAAGGGCAAAAGGGTCAAGGAGCAAAATCAGTGCATGAAGGGAAAAAGGGTCAAGGAGTAGAAGGTGTTGCTGCTGGAAGGAGATGTAAAAGAAAGAAATCAGAGAAAATCATAAAGATGAAACTTGCTAAGAGGGTGAAGGGCAAAGATGGGAAAGGAGATACCAGTGCAAACCCATTGGAGCTTAATGGTTAGGATGTTATTTCGTTTAAGTTGTTATCTTTTTACTTGGTTGTGTTTGGTTGGATTTAAGTGTTAAGTTTGGAATTGGATTGTAGTAGGTTATTAAGTTTGGAATTGGACAAGTTGTTATGTTTTAACTTGGTTGTGTTGTAACTGAATTTCTTTAATTTGCTTGTTCATATTTCGTGCATAGAAAACACATCAAAGCTAAAAGATAACAACTTAAACAAAATAAAGTACATTACAAGTTAGATAACAACTTAAACGAAATAAAGTACATTACAAGTTACATAACAACTTAAACGAAATAAAGTACATTACAAGTTTCAAAACACATCAAAGTGCATTACAAGTTACATAACAAGTGGTCCAATTGACCTTCATTACAACTTGTACATGATTAAACAGAAAAAAAACCCAACTACATATTAGGTATACCTTCAACTTAAAGACCTCAGCTTGAAGCTTTTTGTTCGACTTAAACAACCCATTTATGATCACACCGTCATTGTTGCACTGCATTTCATCAACCCAAACTATAAAACCTGAACGAGCATCCTGATTCCAACTATTTGCTTGAATTAATACATCTTAAAAAAAGTAGGGTTAACATCAGAGTTTGAATAAATGGTAAATTACCTTTTTCGGGCATGCATAAAAGGGCCTTCCTGGGTTATTGGTAGTACGAGATGTTCTTATTATAGCCTCGGCTCCACATCCACATTCCATGTTCTTCATTATGTACCTTCAAAGTGGAGAGTATTTGAAAAAGAAAACAATGTTCTAGAATGAAACTACTTGGTATACATATGAAAGGGTAGTACGTGTAAAAGACTATATTACCCCCACTGTGAAAGGCAAGTGGGGTCCCTAACATCCCCGCTTTTTCCTTCTTCCTAATTCTATTACACTTTCAACGGATTATTCAATGAAAATTAACAACTAATTAAGATAAAAAACAATCAACAAAGAACATCACCCAACTTTACAAAATGCCTATCATTTAGATAGGTCTTTCATTAATCATTGGATTTCACTTATAAAATGTCTGTCATTTAGAGAGGTCTTTTACATATTTCGGCAAAAAAACACAAATACAAAAAAAAAACACACAAACACTACATACTAATAACCTTCTTAACCATGAATCGCCTTAGCTGCATATCAACCCATCACCCAAGCTTAACAAGGAAATGGAGCACAACCACCATCAACAAGAGCATCCCCACCATCATGCCACCCATAGCAACACCAACGACTTTAAACTTATGATCATGGTCATCCAGCTTGTGCTGGAGACTGATGTGGTCGATCCTGCAAACGATATACTCCTGTCCAAGCTGCTCCTTCAATCTTTTCATTTCAGTTTGGTTTTCTGTAATCTTCGGACCACAATCACAGAAGATTGAGTGGAGCACATTGTAGTTGATGTCTTCACCAGAATTTAAAGAGTCGGGTGAAGGTGGTGGAGCCGACATTGTTGCTTTTTAAGGGTTCTTCCAGAGGATTGTTTGCTCGAATATGGTAAACAAGTTTCAGATTTGTTTTACTTCAAACCCCACATGCATATGTCCCCTTATAATTCGAGACTTGTGCTTGGGACTCAATCGAATCGACAGTGTAAGGTTGTTGGGGTGTTGGTGGAAATTAAAGACGGTAATTACTCTTTGCATGTGTCAGCTTCTGTGTCATCGAGTCAACTCGGTATTGAATCACTGGGTTACCTCATATGTATACATGGCAAGTGACGAGGCAGGTTAACCTGCTAAAATGGGTAAGATGACTTTCCCAATCGGTAAATAACAAGTTTATGCCCTTAAAATGCAAAAAATAGTCACGAGGGACCATTTAAACCATTATACGTAACTTTGTTGGGCTAAAGTGACAATAACCCTTAGTTTTTAAAACTACAATCTCCACCCACAAAAGTATGTTCAATTGTCAATTTGGTCCTTACTTTTCCAACATTGTTATATTTCGATACTTTTTTTGCACATACTTTTTCCGTTATTACACATTTGGCCCTTCCTTGGTCAATGGGTAGTCAATCCTACTATACACTCTTGGATTTCGTCGTTACATAATTTTTGGAAACTGTCACTTTTGTGTCATTTTTTTTAAGAAAACTTTAAATTATTTCCAACCATTTTTTTAGGAAACTTTAAATTATTTTCAACAATGCGAAGCATGTGCTCTTTCCTAGCAGTAATAAAAAAATAAATAAAAAATTCATCTTTATTTGCAAAAATTAACTCGGATAGTCCATCGTTTATTTGAATTTTGTATGTTTCATCCCTAATATCGTTTTCCTTACATAAAAGGATGATTTTGCCCTTATCTATTTCTTTTTGATTTATTTTTATTTGTTAGTTATATTTAATTAATTACATATTTATTTCTTTATCTCTTTCTTCATCTAAACAGAAGTCAGAGCATCACCGGCTACCACTAGCCAACTATCTCCGACCTACACTCTTCGGCCATCCACTAGCCACCATCTCCGACCACCTAGGACCAACTACCATCGCGTGGGTCCACTGATACTCTCACTCTCACCCCTCACAACCGGAAATCTGAAAATCCAGAAAACACCCACTAATCCCATAAAAAACCCAAAAACACTCACCATGGTTATAAAGTTGAAACCCTATAATGCAGAACCACAAGACCATCGTCATTGAAGAGAGAGGGATATACATGAGGTTGTCATCATCGGGCTCCCCACAGATACGATTCCCACTTCCCCTCCATCCCCTTCATTGGACACTTTTTTCAGACATCACCCACCAACAAACATCATAGAAAATGAAGTGTTCCAACCATCAGCATCGCCATTCACCTCCAGCAACCCTTCAAAGTCTAGATCTGAGAACAAAGCAAAGAGATGAGTAGTTTTCCCGAGTTTGGATCTGAAAACCCTAAATGGTTAGTGACGGCGGTGCACATGTGCGATAATCGAACGAAGAAGACAAAGTTGATGCCGGAGACGGTGGTAAGCGAGCCTGCAAATTGGGAAATGATCCAGTGGGGATATTGCGGAGATGGCTCGAAGACAGCAACGCACAAGTGGTGACGTCGGTGATATTGATTTCTCTCTTAGTAACTTCGACGATGGTGGCCTTCCCTCTTGGTATCTCCGTCGATGTTCTTCCCTCTCTCTGTAGATCATCAACATAAAAGACAAACTGATGGAGATGAAGAGTGTATATGGGGCTAAGGTAGAGGATTTGTGGTGGTGGGCCTCATTTTTGTTTTTTCTTTTAAATTATTAATAATAAACAAATTAAAAAGTAAATCAAAAAGGGTAACATAGTCATTTTATGTCCATCAGGGACAGTCGGAGTGAGAAAAAAATATTAGAGGGATGGTCCGAGTTAATTTTTAAAAACATGGACTAAACGCATAATTGCGACCTTCACGAGGGACAAATTGTGTAATTTACTATTTTTAAAATCTGAATTTTTAAGATGTCTGAATTTTTAAGAGGTTTTGAATTTTTAAGATCTGAATTTTAACATGTTGTTTGGTTTGAACCTTTGAATTGTTGTGTTGAATTATAAAAATGAATATTTTACCCTTCTGTCTTATTTTTCTTTGAATTTAGTGTTTCTGTTTATAAAATAACCGAACCAAACTCCTTAATAAATTATATATATATATATATATATATATATATATATATATATATAAACACCATACAAAATATTATGCTCTAACAGGAAGAGGTGAAAGTATGATACTATAATAAAGAAATGTATAAAAGTACATTGCTATTTCGTGCCTTCACCCTTACAAAAACAAGCTTACAATAGGCTATGAAAACAAATTGAAATGTATGTTTATATGGATCACATTACATGTATACAACTTGATTCATTTACACATCACGACAAGAACAAACAGTTTAAAAAAAACCTTAATAGTTACTCTAAACGCTTTCTTGAAAAAAACATTTTTTATGTAAAATTCCAAAAGAAGACCAAAATACCCCTTAAAAAATTTCTTGCACCAAACCTTTAAACCATCAACCAACTCCTTCTTTCTTCCGGTCATCCAAAGTCTCGATGCTTCAAGCAATCTAGAATAACCTAATCCACTTGATAATAACAAGGAAAAGACCATTTGCCCTTTATTTTTATTTTTGCATAAGGTTATTCAATATTTTTTATCTTCAATTCAGAAACATTAATACCCATCAAACTGCAACCAAGGTTATGATTACAGAATATACAATCTAAAGTGATTACAGTATTCAAATTGTGCTATAACCATCTAGTCAAATTAGAGTTTTATCTTTTATGTGATAGGTTGGATTACCAAACATCTATATCTCTCTGTGTCTTCCTCATTAGCTAAAGTGGTAGTTTTCCTTGGAAATACTAGTGGTATAAAGTACACAACTTTGTGATTTGATTAAAAAGCCATTGTGTAAAACATATATTGATAGAGCCTCACAAGACTTTTCACAAACAGTTGGTGTGCTTAAGAGTTTCAATGAGTGAACTCTTTATACCCACAAACATAAACCTGAATTTATGACTAGAAACATAACCCTAATTATGTATTTACAAACATAAACCTGCATTTATGACTAGAAAACATCTAAATTAGGTTTCCTAAGAAGTTGACTGTGTATTTCCAAAATTGATTGAATGGAACATTGGATTATATACTCTAGAATAAAAGATGCAAATAAAAATGAGGGGGAATGAAAAGTCATATAGAGACGGTTGAGGAAAGTGTGTCGAGTTTGGTTTCTATTCATAGCCAAGTGAGGAAGATAAAACGAGAGCTGGAGAAAATGAATCATCCGACATTAATCGAGCAGTTGGAGATGAGATCGGTATTGCGAGAATTTTCGAAATCGCAGGATCATTTTCGCTCGCCTTTAGGGATTTCCGACAGGCCTATCTTGATCGACGGCGATGGCGGTGCGGGAAGAGGCAATGGTCAGTTGGTAGTGGAGGGGATATCATGTAACACCCGCAAATTCGGGCTAATCAATTAAGATATAATAAGCGTTAAAAATGATATTTTTGATAGAAGATTATCCAAGATAAATAATCTTAACCAAAGTAATAGTTAGGGTCAACAATTGTAACGTATTTGACATAATAAAGAAGAATTATATGAATATTATGTGTTTCATGATTATTATAATATAATAAAAAAGGAAAATCAGCCGAATCGTCCGTAAATCGTAAAAATAAGTGTGCCAAAACATATATATTATTATATATTTAGAAAGTACACGTCTTCCCGATCCCGAAAATATAAATTCCGTAGAATTCCAACTTCGAACGCCTGATTTGGTGTATAGATCGACATGGTGAGAACTCGAAGCGGATTGGGAAACAGTAACCAACAGCCTGAGCCACGAGTGATTGAGCGTGCACCAAAGGTAGCAGCTGCACCCGAGCCAATCACGATGGCAGGAGTCCAGGCAATGATTCGGGCTATGATGGCCGAACAAGGGAGGAGATGAGGCAAATGTTGTTTAATAGGGATGAACCTACTGTGCCAATTGTGCAACCTGAACTGAATGAGGGACAATCAGAAGAAGGAAACTATAGTAGAACTGTTAGCCAAGTTGAACCGCCAGTAGTTAGAAAAAATAACCAAGATGAAGGGATTGAAAGGAATGGATGCAAGTATAAAGACTTCACCACTTGCAAACCATCAACATTTACTGGGAAAGAAGATTCAATCAGAGTTATGGATTGGATCTTTGAGATGGATCTAGCTTTCATAACATGTGGTTGCAAGGGCAAGCTACAAACCACTTATGTTGTGCATCAGTTTAGGGGTGGAGCTATTCGTTGGTGGAACACTTTGGGAAAGATCATGAGCCCCAATGAGCCACTAAGCTTTGTGCTTACGGTTTAAGTTTATGTTTCAGGTACCTCCGTTTTGAAAGGGAAGGGCTCGACCTGATCGCAGGGCATCCACCCGTGTCCAATATTTTATGATTTTGGGATTGTACTCTGATAACTATTTTGACATTGACATACTTATGATGGGTTGATATGAATATTTTATGATTTTGGCTGACTTAAAAATGAAATTTTTACTTATGATTTTTGGGATGTTTCATCTATTTAGGCAATACTATCCTAATTCAACGTATTTATTTAACACAGAGTATGTAGGTATTAATATACTTTTATCTTTCTATTTAATAATACTTCTATTATTATTATTTTATCATGTAATAGTATATATATATATATATATATATATATATATATATATATATATATATATATTTATAATTATATATTAATACATATAGAACCATATCTGGTTCGCATATCATATATCATCAAGTATATCTCTAACACATAATCCAGGCAATAAGCATATAGCTCACATATAAACTTTTCGATAAATATTTAATATTTTAATTAATACTTGTATTAATATCATGTTCATGAAAATGGACTATGCACTTACTTGCTAAAAGTGGATGACTGGTAATTTCGGCATCGCTCAGCCTAACACCTTGACTTTTCCTTTGATGTGACCTATGTATGATTAATACTGAGTCTTATTCTAATGTCTTTGGTGACCAATGATAGTTTAGATTCCTCACTAATCCCAATGTCCACATCAAGATCTATCAAGTAAGGAACAACCAGGTAGGATCATATCGGGGGTAGGGTCCATTTGGTATACAAAGTATATTGTTTGGAAATCTTATTTTAAACACCTCACTAAATCCAACTTAGACATCATTCTCGTAAGTAGATAAATCAGTATAATGACTTAGAATCACTGATAAATCTTATTTATAGGTTCATAATAACGATTATGAATATAAATATAACTTAAACCTGAAATAAAGCAAGTGCAACTTAACTTACAAGAATTTTAGCAAAAACCGGGAAATTATGTAGGCAGAACTCCAACCCGAACACCTATTTTCGCCGGGATCCTAGAGCTCTAGAGTTTTGGTAAAAATATCCAAGATACGCCAAAAATTCGGACTCAAGACAGAGTAGTACCTCAGAGAGAAAGAGATTGGAATCTGTGTGGAAAGAATATTAGTTCTTTTTGATCACTTAATTAATTCTAAATTAATTCTTGATCAATACTAATTAAATAATATGATTCCATATTAATATATTAGAGCTTATAATATATTAATATAAATCATAAATATACTATTCTCAAAAGACTATCCATATAAATTGTGCCGGTGAAGTGCAACCCAAATGGACCATGCCGGGTCGGGTCAAGTACATACTAAATATAGTTATGGACTTAGACTATAATCCAACAGTCTCCCACTTGGATAAGTCTAAAACTATTATTGAGTATGACTTCAAAACCTAACTGGCAATCGTAGCTCTTAAAGCCGCTGTCGAACTCTGACCTTGTCAATGACTTGTCCATTAGATAAGGGATCATATATTCCTCCATTCTAGATATCATATGGACGGAGACATGGATTATAATCATTCTCTCTGTCCATTTGTTGTTTCCCGATTTTCGATTTAGGATGACTGACTGATTGAACAAATCAAATCAGTCCTGGCTTGGCCAAGCACTCACATGTGTCATCGCTAAATCATCGAGGGGCCCACAGATATCGCTTTTATCCCGAAGGTAAAAGGAATGGATAAACTTCGACTCATATGGCTTGTTCTACTACTTGTTGAATCATACACAAAGGCACGTTTTATAACATCGAGTTACCAAATGCGTTTTCATGCAATCAATGTATAACCAACTCATAGTAACAACTCATATCTCTAGGTTTGAAGAATATAAGATATTATCGTCTCATGATCACTCGTGATAAAATCCATGAAGTGATTCAAATGAGCGCGGGTTGAATCCAATACTCAGAACTTATGAGCACTCATGAGTGTTGTAGCACCACTTTGTCCACCAACTTGTACCTCTACAAACCAACCCATGACAGTCTTGATTCATATCTACTTCCAACATATGACCGAATGTGGATGGTTTGAATAACTTAATCATTCAGGAAGAGCGACTTAGTTATTCTGGAAGTCAAAACATGCAAAGTGAAACACAAGAATAAATGAATCAAATATGGTATCAAACCCTATGAATATAAATAAACACTTTTATTTATCACCATACTGATTACTCATTATTCATTGTTTCGGTTTTATCAACTTTATACTTGAATTAAAAACACTAGTTGTCCCATGCTCCAAGCATGTACACTATGTTTTTCTTAAACAATAGCTTTGCCATACACCAAGTATGCACTCTATGTTTGTCTATGATCCTTACTTTGTGAAATAAACCAATTGAACATAATTTCAATGATTCTAATTTCACACTCCCAAATCCTTATCGAAAAATGTGAGAATTTCAAATTCCTATCATTTATCGAAATCTGTTTAGATTTTAAACTTATATGCACTGACCCTCCTGTAATGAATATGTACAAAGTCACAAAGACTTGTCAACAGTCATTATAAGGTATTCCAATGGAGATCAACTCCATGGAAACTAAGTCTCATATTCAAAGTACATTGCTTTGGACACGCTTCTTGCATTAAGTTTTCTAATCTTACACAGATAACTTCCACCTATGGAGACAACTCCATATTCTCATTTTGACTATCACTTCTGAATAAGAGATTCCTCTTTTCAGAATATGTCAATATGGTCCTTCCAAAATTAGCACTATACTTCCAACTGTCCCTGAGCAACCAATCTTTGGTAAACCTCAGATTGTCCTCGACAATTGCTTAATCATTTTAGTCATATCCAATTCTAGACCTTTTCCCTTCTTAATGCCTCTGGGCATTTGGAAAAATTTAGAAATGACAAATATTATAGCACATGCAATCGATCCTGTACCCAAAGCAAATGGTACACGATTCATGATGTCTCACATAAAGACATGATTCTAGACCAGTCTTTTGCTACAATATTTTTATTTGCCATGTTTTCAAAATTTGACTATGAAGAGGGATGCCGTAATCATAATCGAATTTTGAGAACGCAATATATAGAATTTCCTTAAGTTGAACCAATCCAACATGAAATTCATATATATATTCTTGACTAAAGATGATTAAGGTCTCAATCTAAGCCTTTAGAAATGAAATGAAGTATATCCTCTCCCTTAATTATAGCAAAACAACTTTTTCAATCCCTGCAGCCTCACGAATTGAAACTTTTGTTTTCTATAATTAACATTGCTAACTTGCAACACTAACAATAATTATCATGCCCCCACTAACATGATGATTATTAGCATAACACTTATGCTCCCACTAGCTTTGACATGTACTCAGAAATCAGCTGGACTTCTAGAAATCAATACTTTATTGACTTTCTTACCAAAGTTCAGATTTCTGATACGAGATGCTTTGATAAAACTTTATCAAAATCATACACCTTTCCTTAGATAGCATGCATGTGTGTCTAAACAATTTCAGAACTATGAAAAGGGATGCCGTAATCATAGTCTCAATTGTTTAGACCTTTTGCCATTTGCTTCAAATCTATTTGGTGGAAGTGTTTCTTCACCATCATTTTCATGAATCGGAGAGAAACCTTATGACCCTTAGATTTTATGGTGTATGTGTTCTTATCCATGTGAATCGTCAAAACCATAGTCACAAGACAAGGATAATGACAAATCCAAACTCATATGGACTGAACTTATGCAATCTTAACTTCTTGCCACCTGGCAGTACAGGGCCTGCCATTGCTTCCAAGTTGTTATGCAACCAATTGAGAACTTTCAGAACTCCTATGCAAAGCCAACTTTAACTGGAATGGGCACAGAATATGTCAACACGATAGGTTATAAACCTCAAGTCGTGTGCTAGTGAAGAACCTCAGGTTTTATTCTTGATTAGTTCTTGAAATTCTTTTTAGGATCTTTAAGACTCCCACTATCCTCTTGACATATAAGACTATCTTGCCAAATATTCAAGAGATAGTGCAGATTCTTTATCAAGACAAACACTTCACACAATTGGCCTTAGTTGGTCTTTGTTTTATCCAAAACAT